AGAGGTGGTTTTTTCATCATTCTTGGCTCATGTTTGGTGCACATTGTTTTAAAACTCGTTTTGCTACATGATCATTTTCAATCACACATTCACACAATAAAATATTTTGTACATAAATCTAAAACTTTTTCCACTTTTTAACAATACATTTTCCTTATCAAAATTGTTCTCCTGCCCACAGTTGGCAGAATAAGATTGTCCACTTGCTAATATGACGAGAATTTTACTTATGTAAAAACCGTAAGTAATGTTCTCTTCAAATGGACAAAATAAGACTTCACATCGTGAGCAGGAGAACATTTCTTTATTCTCCAGAGTCATTGCTTATTCAACCGCGCTATGTGTACAAAGCCGGTTGACAAAGTGACATGGCATGTATTAAAAAAAAAACTTAAATTTTGAAACCCAACATTCTCTCTCTCCACCCATTTCCCCCCCATTTGAAGTTGAAACCAAAACCCGTTTCCTCCGGCAGCAACATGAAGTCCGGCACTATCCTCACCTCCGGCGTCACCCACATCTCCGACAGCCGGTGAACACCCAGCAATGTGATTTCCCCCGCTCCGCGCCGTATTTTTTTGATCAACTCGTATTCAAACACCACTCATACGTAAGAAATTTCCTTCGGCCTTGATGTTCTCCTTTTCTAGATTTCGGTTCGCTCTAAATTTTCTCAGCTAAAACCCTTTTAATTTTTTTTTCCTTCGGTGTTTTTTCCTTTATTTCAGTTTTCGTTGCTTGATTCTTGAATGAGCCTAAAAGGATAAGATTTTCTGTATTGGGCAAAAGGCTGATTTTTTTATTATTGTTTGGGGTAAAGATCATCGTTATTGGGCAAGTTGGTCTGTGAGAATTCAATGAATTCCCCATTCAATTATCAATTTTTGAACCAGAAGATTGCATTTTTACTTCTAGCCAAATGGGTCTCGTAGAAATCCAGCCATTTCTTTTTTATATACATATTATTTGAGATTTTGTCTACCATTTCTTTTTCACATTTACTTGAAGAAGAATTGATGGCTACTAGAAAGAGCCAAGAAGATTTCCAACAGTAAAGAATGATAAGTATTCAGTTCTTAGACTTGTAAATTAGGAAAATGTGATTTTGGTGTTTCACATTTAACTTAGATGTTGATTGGGGAGTATAAAATTGAGCTGAGATGCTAATTTTTGTTGTGGTATAACTTAGATGTTGAATTTGTAGATTCACATTGCACTTAAAATGCTGATTTTGCAGTTGAACATTTCACGTAGATGCTGATTTTTTTATGCTGATTTTTCAGTTTAACATTTAACATGAATGCTGACTTTTTTGGTTGTTGAATTTACCTTAAATCCTTGTTTTTCAATTTAACATTATCTTACATGATGATTTTATTATTTTGACATTTGGTAGACATAAATGTAAATTAGTTTGATTCAGGAACACAGAATGCCGGGAAAGAACTCCGGAGTTTGTCACGGTTGCAGGAGTGTTGGACACTTCTTCAGTGATTGCCTGATAAAGCGTTGATGTCTACTTTGTGTGCATGGATTTCAGAAGTTTTTCGAGGTTGAAAAGGAGACTGTTAACAAAGGAAGATTCTTCAAATGTTGTAGTTTGAAGTGTGGCTTTTGGGATTGGTGCAAAGATGGAGAAGTAAATAGCGAATCTAGCAGTACTAGGGCTAAACCACAAGTGGATGAAGAAGTTGAAGATATGTCGCGAATGTTCCAATCTAAAGTTAGGCTAAATAAAGAAGACAAGCTATTGATTTATGTGACATTGAATGTGATGGTTCGTCGAGCTTGATTAGTTGTTAACGGTGAACTGGTCATCTTTTGTTAATATCGGCATTTTGTAAATCTCAAATTGGTCAACTAGTCTAGTGCAATCAATTGGTACATTTTGGGTGAA